AACTTATAATGAGTGATATAACTGTGTGGGCTGCTCATATGAGTGCATTGGGTTGTTTTTGACACAGATACTGTAGATAGATAGATAGATAGATAGATAGATAGATAGATAGATAGATAGATAGATAAATACATAGATAGATACATAGATAGATAGATACATAGATAGATACCTAGATAGATAGATAGATAGATAGATAGATAGATACAGTAGATAAATACATAGATAGATATATACAGTAGATAGATAGATAGTAAACCTGAATATTTATGTTTCCTTCTGCTCTGGTCGAGTGCAGACTTGTCTCTGACCGCTCATGCTCTGACTGTTCGCACTATTGTGTATTTGTCAGTTTCTGGAGGTCAGAGCGGACTCCTCTAACAAGAATTATGAATATAATCAACTGGTGGTGGTTGAGAGCGCGATGGGATCGCAACATTCTACAGGTCAAACCGTTACTGAACAAACTCTCTAACTTTCGGCCGGGCCGGTCCTTGCGGAGAGGCACCAGTAATGCACCAGTTGGACTCAAGTCATATTTGTTTTTCTTTGAGCAGCTAAATTACTTAACTATAGATTATCCACTTCAGGTAAATGTGTTTCTGTATCACCCAAGTCTGCAGCGCTGCTCCTTCTCAACCCTCCTCATTCCAAATACAAGGCCAATGTTGCAGCCGCACACGCTCTAAGGATCTCTGAGTCGGTTCATGTCAGGCAGGTCCAAACTCAGGCCCATTCTAAAGCCCAGTGCGTCTGGAATTCAGTTGTCGTGAGACTTGTGAGATTGTAAACATTTGTCATTCAGCCAACTTCAGCTCTGTTATAGATCATTTTAAAGCTCAGAAGAGCCCGATGCCAGTCAAGACAGTTTTTCAGTCTGTGATGTCGGGCCCTGGACTAGTCTGAGCTAAAGTGGCCCTCTGACTAAAATGTTTGGACACCCCTGATGTAGCCGGTTAGCATCTCTGAGTAAAAGCAACTCTGAAGGAAACTGAGAAGAGGTGAAAGATGGTAGAGGACTGAAGAAATGGAATCGATGGACACTTCATTCAGCTGTAATCTTTCATGGTGTTGGTTATTTATCCCGCTGTGGGTGAAGCTGTTCTTTTGCAGTGCTCTAGACTTTTACCTTTCTCAGCTTATTTTGTTATTCTCTGCAATAAGGCCAAAGCTGCGATTCCCTGGAGTAATGGTGCGTAACATGGCTTAAAGCTGTGTCATTTAAACCAGTAATATGCCGTTGATTATTCAGCCTATCGGGCGGCCATTTTTGTTTGTCCTTAAGGCGCGGTAATAATTCTGGGTCCACTTTGATTTATGGAGGCAACACAATCAGGGGGAATAGAGGTTTTTCCCATTACTGCGCTGGAAAGCAGAGCGCGGCTGAAGCGAATACACAAATGAGTTATGTGGACGCTTTAGAAAAGTCCCGGGGATAGAATGGGGTGTCTTTGTGAGGCGGGGGAGGGAAGTGTGGGGAAGAAAAAGGTAGAAGTATCTGTTGAGGAAAAGTAAAAATGTCATAGCACTCAGCTGTGATTGAGTTAAAGTGTGTTATTTCTTTATTTAAAACATGCAAGAAGATTTTACAAAACTAACTGATGCGTTATCCTCAACCACAGCCCAACACAAACAAACTATTTATTTGTCTTTTATTTACTGATAAAGTCATTCATTCATTTTCTTCCCCTTAATCCATTTCTGGGTCAGGGGGGTGGCAGTCAGAGCTGCACCCAGTCACAGAGCACCAGCCCCTCACTGATCCTCCTGCAGGTGCTGAGTCCACAGGAGCTGCTAAATTACTTAACTATAAATTATCCACTTCAGGTAAATGTGTTTCTGTATCACCCAAGTCTGCAGCGCTGCTCCTACTCAACCCTCCTCATTCCAAATACAAATTCATGTCAGGCAGGTCCAAACTCAGGCCTGGGGGCCAATTGCGGCCCTCAGTGTCATTTGATGAGGCCCTCTGCCTTGCCTACCCACAGTAGTGTTTGAGATCATAAACACAAGTCCACTGTGTCATTGTGATAAAGTCATTACAACTATAATCACACTTTTGTTGCCAGACTCCGCCTCCTAATGACACATGGAGCGTCTGAGGATTGAATCCGTCTGATTCAGCTGAAACAGGACCAACTATGAACACGTATGACCACATATTGTTGCATCTACTTTCGGTTAAATCTGTATTTTGCTCTGAGTGTGGTGCTCACAGCTCTCTCTCCGTGGATGGTTCTACCTCTCTGAGCTCGGGCCCTCCACCATAATTTGTACATTTGTGTTATCTGGGGACACATAGAATTTAACGACATTCATGAACTTAAACAACTATGGGAACTACATAGACATACAAGGAATCTGGCCTTCTGCAGGTCACAACGATCGTGCATCTGTGTTATGTTCTTTCAATGTCTCTAGGACGCGGATGTCTTTCAATGTGTGACGCATGTGTGACATAACGTTGACAACATAAACCATATCCTGACTTTGTTTGAGTTGTAAGAGTGATGAGTTAGAACTTTAACCACAGTTGCTTCAAAGTGACATATCCAAACAACATATATGGACATTGGTCATCTGGTCATTCTTCGATTCTTGTGTTTGAACGTTTTGATTCTCAGATTTTTGCCAAACACAGGGAGAACATGCAAACTCCAGCAGGACCTTCTTGCTGAGTGGCAACAGTTCTAACCAGTTCTAACTAGTTCTGACCATTGGTGAATCAACCGTTTGTGAAGTCCTCCCAGACTATATATATCCCTATACAAAAAAGAGTTGAATGTAGTTGAATAAAAGATGTAATTGGAAATGAAAAAATTACATACTGTCCCTTTAACGCCCTCGTGATTAAAACATACAGTTAGAAGGATATCATCAAGATTTTACTCAGTGTGGCTAAAATGTTTTAGAATGTATCAAATCTAACACATCTCCATCTCTGTCCAACACAAAATCATGGGCAAACATTTCGGTCTCTAGATGTGCAAAGCTGGAGACGTACTCGGCCCCACTTGCCTAAACTACTACACATATTATCCAATGGTTCTATCCCACCAAGAAAATAATAATCACTAATAATGTGCCCTGTCACACACAATATCACAGTTCTTATAAAAAAGTCCTGGATTCCCATATTCTCCTCGTCTTCCAGCTCTCGCTCAGTCATAATAGGTCTATCTTTGGCACCGGTGCTGAATCACGGCTGCAGACTGCCACCCGCCCTCCCCCGTCTCACTCACATCCATTTGAGTCTGAGCTCCGGCCCCTGTCCCCGTCCCCCGCCAGGTCCCCACTCCCCGACCGTCCCCAGAAATGTTCCCTGCCAGCTGTGAAATGTAGAGAGCTTTCTGCCCTTGACCAAGTCTCAGTGAGAGCTGTTGTTGGAGAAGATTGTGCAGAGTCCGTTCAGTCACAGACACATCGACATTATGCAAAAAGATACATGTGTTTTTCAGCTTTTATCCTACACAGATAGATAGACAGACAGACAGATAGATAGACAGACAGATAGACAGATAGATAGACAGATAGATAGACAGACAGATAGATAGATAGACAGACAGATAGACAGATAGATAGACAGACAGATAGACAGACAGACAGACAGGTAGATAGACAGATAGATAGATAGACAGACAGAGAGACAGATAGATAGATAGATAGATAGATAGACAGATAGATAGACAGATAGATAGATAGATAGACAGATAGACAGATAGATAGATAGATAGATAGACAGATAGATAGACAGATAGATAGATAGATACAGATAGATAGACAGATAGATAGATAGATAGACAGATAGATAGATAGATAGACAGATAGATAGATAGATAGACAGATAGATAGACAGATAGATAGATAGACAGATAGATAGACAGATAGATAGATAGATAGATAGATAGATAGATAGACAGATAGATAGACAGATAGATAGATAGATAGATAGATAGATAGATAGACAGATAGATAGATAGACAGATAGATAGATAGATAGATAGACAGATAGATAGACAGATAGATAGATAGATAGATAGACAGATAGATAGACAGATAGATAGCTAGATAGATAGATAGATAGACAGATAGATAGATAGATAGATAGACAGATAGATAGATAGATAGACAGATAGATAGATAGACAGATAGATAGACAGACAGATAGACAGATAGATAGATAGATAGATAGATAGACAGATAGATAGATAGACAGATAGATAAATACGACGGACGGACGTTTCTGTGAGCAGAAACTCTGTTTCATGATGTCTCTGGAGGATCTCAGGACAGAGACGCTGCTCTCATGGAGGAGAAGTTTATACAAAAAGCTGCTATAACTTAAACACGTTTACTGTTATGACGACAGTTTCTAGATTTTTACAAAATGGTTTTTCTAATAGATTATTTTACATAATTATGGTCCTCAGTGGTTTCTTCTTTAAACTTGGAGCGATATTAGCACCTGTGAGATCATGTGGCAACAAAAACATGATTCCTTATGTCACTTATCAAGCAATTTCAAGATGGGGCGACAGTTGGTAAAGCATTGGCCTTTAGGACTGAAGGTCGTGGGTTCGAGCCCACCTACTTTAAGACCTTGGACAAGACACTTAACCCCATTTTGCTTGAAGATGAAGGCTGTGTCGTCACCGACGGAGCAGCCTCCTGTGGACTCAGCTCCTGCAGCAGGATCAGTGAGGGGCTGGTGCTCTGAGCAGCTCTGACTGCCACCCCCCCACACCCGACCCAGAAATGGATTAAGGGGAAGAAAATGGATGGATGGAAGGTATTTCAAGGTGACACATTTACATCATGCACGTCTTCCAGCGCTCATGCATATTTATAGGTCAAATTCTAAGCCTATAAAAACAATTCAAACCTTTGGTGGAGTTGAATATTCTTAAAAAGGTCAAATTTTTGATTGGTTCCAAATAAAATTCATTTGGAGCCACTGTAAAAACTGACTGAGTGCACCTTTAAGGAAGAATGTGCAGTAGTTAGTGCTTGTCGTAGAATAACACGGTAATGTCCGAGAAGCGGCGTGTGCTACACTTCCAGCTGAAGCTTCGTTGGAACGAGCTCAAATCAGTCGTTACCCCACGATCCTGAACCCTGCCCTCCATCTCAGAGCGCCACGGCCACAAATCCCCAAATGCAAACATGAGGCATTCTGAAGTCTGTCCTCTTCCCTCGGCTGCTCGTCTCCTCCTCTCGCTGCTGTGATCGGGTCGTGATTGTACCGACCGTGGCGCCCGCGGCATTGACACGCCGTTGCCATGACAGCGGAGCAGAGCAGATGCATGAGAACTAGAGAGAATGTGTTGTTTGTTTGCTTTAAAGGATAGAGTAAGCACTGCAGAAGAATCTGATTGGAAAAAGATAATGTTTGTGTGAGAAATACTAAGAACATTTTGTGGATTTGTGTGAAACGTGCGATTCTGTTTCAAGCTTTATGATTAAAGGACAGAAGTCAAAAATTATTTATTCCCTAATATCTTCCAGTCCCAGAACTCAATTTTTAGCTAAAAAATGCCAAAGAAAATAAAAATGTAGTCAGGATGCTTTACTGTTCAGACAGAAAGAACCAGATGAGACAAAAATGTATGTTTTTCACCCAAACACAAAATGTTTCTGTATTGTGCTGTACTTATAGTATGTGATCAGACATGTCAGCAGCACTCTAACCTTCTCTCTCAGTCATGAGTGAGACACGGGACGTTTGAATAGACAATAGGACCTTCATTTGAGAGCAAACACCAATATCATGTGGGATGCATATGGAGTGTCATAAACACTCTATGAATGGTCTATGAATGTATGGTTGGTTTAAGTGTGTGTGTCTTTCTGGTGGCGTTTCTGGTGCTTAAAGCAAGCAGAGTTGCTTGATTCATTGTCACTTTTGCGAGCCATCTTTTTAGCAGGGGCCCAGGCTATGAGTCTGAAACTTCTGCTTTACTTTTATATTAAACCTTCTTTTATATTTAAAGCAGAGTCTGTAGTTTCCATTCAATGTCTAAGGGTAAACCGTGGTGAACCAGCTTTCACACGTGCAAAACTCCCAATATGGGGTTGGCAGCATCATGCTGTGGGACTGCCTTTCTTCAGGAGGGACAGGGAAAAACCATGATGAAAATGGATGGATCTTTTAGTCCCAGTATGCAACTTTTAAACTAAGAAAAAGCCACAATTATGGACCATTTATGGACTTTTAAAACAAATACATATATATTTTTTATAATTATCTAAAACATTGTTCACAAAACAAAAAGCCAAACAAAGTAGAAATGGTCAGAAATCTCAACATTAAATGAACACTATACTAGTAATGCAGAATAATCTCACTCAGAGATCCTTGTGAGCTTTAGCGTGGTAACTTCTGTGCTTAACCCACAGGTTTTTCTAATGCATGCAGTTCCACTTTGCATGTGGGAGGCCGGACTGTATTTTTAGAAGGTCTTCACAAACAGTATAATGCCTGGAGATACATTTTCCAGGAATTTCACCAAATGTCAGTGTATGTTCTGAATTGTTAATTTTTTACTCGGTAGCAGCTACAGCAGCCACTTGGAATCAGACCAGCACATTCTTCCACAGAGATCCTTTGTCAACAATCATATTATGTAACATTTTATCCAATTTGTGCGAAAAACAAGCATCTTTCCCACGAGCGACTCGGATCTGCATGGACCTGACTCGCAATTTTGACACTGCTAATCCAATGTGTGCGTTTTAACCACAGAAAAATGTAATATAATCTCTTTTTTTATGATTTTCCCGGTATTGGACAGTGGCTCTACACAAAATGCACTTTCATGAGTCTACCACAAAATCCCATTGGGTTCAAATCCAGTCTGATTGGAGCTCGGCTTTATCCGGGACAAACATAATGAATTTGTTTGGTTCAGAGGCCTGTTCCCTTTAAGTATTCGGCACACTGCCTCTTTTATTCCATACATTTGAAACTGATTTTCATTCACAGATGTAGCGAGCCCAAGCAGAGAAACCGTTGATTTGGAGAGAGAATCTACATGAACTGTATGTGGTATTTGGGTCGGTGCAGGTTCAGAGGACACACATGTGCTTCCTGTACATGTTAAAGTAAGAATCTTTATGCCAAGTCATCATTAAATTCATTAAACTCATAACAGTAGTTCAGCTGGGATTTCCAACCCCTAAATCTAGTTATTGTTTTCATTTTGATGTCCCGCCCTCCACCGTTTCACCAATCAGGGAATAACAAGGAACAAGGAATAAAACGCGGATTTCTGTTAGAACCTAAATGTGCTGGTTATAGATTTGTTGTTGAAAAAACTCGGATTCGTCTGCATATCTGGCAACCTGAGTCAGGGAGAGTGGGAGAGGCTGCAGTACCACCTTTGGCCACATTATTACATATTTCTCCTTTAAATGGAGGTTTGGATCAATGGATGGTTGTTGAACTTGTCTATAACAATCTGTAAAGTTGCTTTGTGCCATTTCATACCACAGACTCAGAGGGAATAGTTGGCGTGTTGTTTGGACCTGTGTTGGATTTTCAGCACAGGGAAGACATGAATGTATCAAGGGTTAAAAGCCAGTGTTATAATTTCTGAGTTGGTTCATATTGAAGCCAACAAAAAAGAGCAGCAAAATAAACGCTTCCCAATTGTTACATGACTTGTTAGGCTGTCATTATGCAAAGTAATGGTTGTATAATCTTCTTCACCACATGTGAGCAACAGGCTATGGAACAGTTTTATATCAGAATCAGAATCAGAATCATTTTTATTGCCAACGTAAGTAACAGGAGGTCACAGACTTGGAAATTGCTTTGGCTCAGTGCAACAGTCAAAAAGATATAATAAAAATAAGAATAAAAAACACTTCTAAAGAATAAATTTAAATTTAAAATAGAGTTACAGTTACTATTTACAATATCCAAGTGCACATGGTGCACACAATGTAAGGTGACAGCAGTACAGTGAAGTAAAGTGACGTATGATGGGCAGTAAAGTGACTTTATAAAGGGCGGGGACAGGTTAAGAAGTGTTCAAGAGTCCAACAGCAGAGGGGAAGAAACTGTTCTTGTGGCGGGAGGTTCTAGTCCTGATGGACCGCAGCCTCCTGCCTGAGGGGAGTGGTTGGAATAGTCCATGTGCAGGGTGAGAGGGGAGTGGTTGGAATAGTCCATGTGCAGGTGAGAGGGGAGTGGTTGGAATAGTCCATGTGCAGGTGAGAGGGGAGTGGTTGGAATAGTCCATGTGCAGGTGAGAGGGGAGTGGTTGGAATAGTCCATGTGCAGGTGAGAGGGGAGTGGTTGGAATAGTCCATGTGCAGGTGAGAGGGGAGTGGTTGGAATAGTCCATGTGCAGGTGAGAGGGGAGTGGTTGGAATAGTCCATGTGCAGGTGAGAGGGGAGTGGTTGGAATAGTCCATGTGCAGGTGAGAGGGGTCGGCTGTGATACGACCAGCCCGGCCTCGAGCTCGGGCGACGTACAGGTCCTGCAGCGATGGAAGGCTGCGGCCGATCACTTCCTCTGCAGAGCGCACAATGCACTGTAGTCTCTGTTTGTCCCTGACTGTGGCTCCAGCGAACCACACGGTGACGGAGGAGGTGAGGATGGACTCGATGATGGCCGTGTAGAACTACAATATAATGCTTTTATTGGTTATTGGAATTGTGTGGGCTCCCCGAGGTTTCTCACTTTTCTCCCACTGAGTTTTTAGAGTTGTTCTTTACCAAAGCAGCAAGGTCTAAGGCAGTGGTGATGGGACACTCATGGACATTTATGGACATTGGTCTCTGCGCCTTGTGGACCGATGGCTCTATGTGTGTTTATTTCTCTGATCTGTGTTGGTGAATGGTCATTTTTGTATGTCCTCTAATATAATAACTGTTGGGATTTAGGTCTGTGCCAAAATAAACATATATATTTAGTGTCTATAGTTCATATTGAGAGTTCACACTAAAACATACCGCAGCAAAGGAGCTACTGTCGTTTCAATTCAATGGACAATTATGAGGCTTCACTTCCTCCACTGGATCAGAAAGCTCATCCTCGTCATCTCCCAACGTACATCTGTCTATTGGGTACTTTAGACGTGTACATGCACAAGGAAATCACTAAAGATCACAGTGAGCACACATGATAGATCTGTCAGACAGGAACGTGACACAGAGAGCACCCCAATCAGCCCAAAACGTCATATAGTGACTCCCAGGGCTCTTACATATGTGTGTTTGCAGCATATGTTTTGTTTGTGGCCTGTCCTGCTCCAACCCCAGCGGCCCCAAGGCCGCTTAATTTCTCTGCTTTTATCGTCCCAGGAAAGTAGCTCTCTGGGTGAAAAAGGTTGGAGACACCTGCTCTAGGTTATGAAGATAGAACAGTCTGTAAATGGAATCTCCGCAATACTTTCAGAAGAGCTAAAAATCTCATTACTGTGATTTTTCCGACTGTCTTTAAGCAGAACAACTGAAACGATGAAAGGTCCGTGTGGTGCGACGCTGGAGCCCGAGCAGCACTTACCCCCGAGACTCCGCGGCCTTCACCGGTGACGTGAGCGAGGGCTGAGGATGATGGATGGAGACCCTGGCCTGGCCTTGTCCGTCACACTCCCGCTCACTGATCCCTGGACCAAACACTTTCACATTGAAGCGACACGTTCAGTAACACCGTGTTCTGAGAGATTTCAACCATGTTAAACGTTCTCACCAATTACTCACCTGGAGTTGTTCGTGGCTACTTTAAGGCTAATATCAGAAAATGAATGTTACTTTTTCAAATTCCTTTCTCTCTGCTTCTAATTTATGGGTTGACCAATTACTGGTGTCAACATGTGACAGCCAGATCCCATCAGACCTCTGAACCTTAGCAGGGCCTGCTTAGGGCAGGGCCTTATTTGTCTTATTTCCAAGGAAAGTGATGTGTCTGTGTCGGCGTCGCTGGAGCCGAGCTCACTCCTTCTGCGTTTCTGATCTGGTTTCCCTGTCGTCTTGTACACTGTGTCAACATATGACTCTCTTCTAGTGTCTCGTTCCCGGGGATTCCAGTTTTAATATTTTTGTTTGTTTGAAGATGACACCCGGTTTAAGCAGTGTTAACGGGGAGAGACGGGGGTTACATGTCACGCACAGGTCCATACTCTTTTCCAGTTTCACAGTTTCTGACCAGTGCACTGATTGTTCCATATCATTATTGACTAATATAAATATATCAGAATCAGATGTTTTCTTTTGTACAAATAAAGTATAATCTAAAAAAACAAAAATAAATGATTA